GTGACAACCTCTGGTTGCTAGGGAAAAATGTGTCTTGGTAAGTGGTTGCTGGAGGTTGCTAAGTGAAATTGGTCTCAAAGACACAAAGAGGGTGCTGTACCAAAAAGCTTCTTGTAATTGGTGTGGTCACCTGTAGTTTGCATTCAGCTGCAACACATGTTGAAAAAATGAGCAGTTTTTATTTGGAGGATTAAATCTATTTATTGTTTGAGTAACAAAAATGCAATTGCGTCGTGGTTTTCAGTGTAGCGTGATATACCTCAGTGGACTAGAAAAATAAACATTTAGTGTCTTGGCCAGCGTGACTCAGGCCTTAGCTGTTGGTTTCACAGACAGACAGCAACAATTTGCCAACCCGTCACAGAATACAAATTTTTCTCGCTGTACTTGTGTTTGCCATGGAGTCAGCAACTGGTTTCTAGGCCTGTGTGACTGGGATTTAACTTAATGTAAGTGAAATTATTACAGAAACGGCTCATTATATTCGCCCACTGATCAAAATCTATTAATATGCTCTAATCTTTGTAATGTGGTTTACAGTGGATTGGTCCGTAAATAGACTGGTTGTATTAAGATGCCAGAATGCAGTTAAGTAGAGCAGTTAAATCCTGGTAATTGGATGTTAATATTACAGCATGTGATTAACACAACTTCAGTTGTTCATTTATTTAAATTTCCAGGTTGATTAAAGGAAAAACAAAATAGAATATTTGAAACGTTTAGAGCCATATGATTTGTCAGTAAAATATCATTACTAACAAAATACAACTGTATATTTTTTTCTTTCATTAAAGGTAGAGTCTGTGAAAAGTGTTGCATCAACAACATCATGTACAGAAGAGTTTGTTTGGTTGTTGCCAAAGGAACAAGATAGATTGCATGTTGAGTAATAAGGATCATGAAGGTTCATTAGATCATGCTGCTTTATTGGCTGCAGTTTGGAACATATGTGGTAGAGTGATAAACTGGATGAGGTCGAAAGCTGCTTATCCTGCTGATATTACTGATATTATTGTTCTTGGACCCTCTTGTGAATATGTGAAACTGCAGCAGAGGACACTTCGCTATTGCTTTGCATGAAACTTGAGATGAGAATTTAATTGAAATTCCAATACTGTCGTTACCACAGTCAATACCAGCACAATTATTGAAGTGCACATGCATAAGTATGAACCCAGATATACACATGCAGCATGCATGTGCAGGCACTAACACGGGGCTCTCTGTGGACCTTCAGGTACAGAATTAATAGGCAAACCCTTAGATCTGCCTGTAGTGAGGAACACATGGCTCTTCCTTTGATCTACTCATATTTGGAACATTTCCATATACACAGAGATATTCTGTGAGATGAATACAGATGATTAAATTGCAGCAATCTGAAAAACTGCATACTCCATCTATCTATCTATCTATCTATGGTAGATATCCCATTCTTTTGTTTTGGTAATATATGGCTCTTAATGGCATCAAATGTAGGATGACTGCTGTTCAAAACATTAGTCACACCCAACTGAAGAACACAAGAAAGCTATCAGGGCTTCTATCCTTGTGTTTTACCATGTTTTTTTCATTCTTTCTCATTCTTTACTATTTTATTCAGACATCTCCCCATCTAAAGCCTCGTTGAAAGCTCACAAATATTTCAAGGTTGCTTTTCTGGTCTGTTGGCCATCTCCTTGATCTAATCCAGCTGTTGCTAGAGGTGCCCAAGTGATCCTGATCTGTGATGGTATGAGGATTAGAGCCAAGAGAGGAAGTGTCCATCCAGTTAGGTATCTTCTCATCTGCTTTCTTATCTGCAACCCCCTGTTTTTTTACTAAATCAGTATGTATATATAAAAGGAAGTGTTGATAAATATTCAGACATAAAAAGAAGTTATTTAGACATAAGACCAGTAAAGCATCATTAAAAAACACACATAAAAACAGAATAGGCTGAAGGCAAAAAAATTGTCTGAAATCAATTTTAGATCAAAATGTTTAACACCTTATTTTCAAAGCACTCGGATTTAAAGCAGATTATATATGTTTCTTTGGGACCCTTTTGAACACCTAATATGATATAGTTCAAGTATGTATTTGTAGAGAAGCTAAAAGGTTTTTGTATAGTTTTGCTGCAGTATTTACACAGATCTTCATTGACATTCTTATTGGCCTCCTAATCTCAGGAAAACCCGACCACCAAACTGCATTTCTTTATGTATTCTTTTCCTTCATGAACAAAAACCTTCTGGAGGGCAGTCCAACCACTGATTGCATAATGAACTGCTGTCTTGGTAAATCACACACTAATTACATACAGATTGTGCTCACACAAATTGAATGAAAAGATGTAGTGCAAATTTAGCTTGTGCTTGTATGCCTATAAATCTGCCCCGTGATCTCTTTCACCAACATGCCTCTTCTCTGTTCTTCTCTGTGTGTTACTTACATATCTTCATCTTGCCCACTGGCAGTAAAAATCTTATCTTTTATTTTAAAAATGCGTGTTAATGAAAGGTCTTTTGAAGTATAGCATGTTGTAAACTGATTAATTGTCCCTTTTATGTTACATTAAGACTGCTTTTGTTTTAGTAATATAATTTACCAGGATCATACTTTGGTGTTGGATAGGAGGGAAAGCATTTACAGCTCAAGTGTGGTGGTATATGTGATATATGTGATAAGTCTGAGGTGAGAAAGTAAACTCTGGAAAACTGTCCTGTCCTCACATATATTTGGGCTCCTTAAAGCCACCTTTTCTGACAGATTCCCTTGTTTGAATTTATTCATTGTTTCTATAGAATCACTGACCTGAAAATTAAAGGAGAGTTTTAGCTGTTATTGGAAAGAAAATACAGCAAAAGCACACACAAATCTTACACGTACTTACATTTAAAAAGAAAATATTTTGCAGATGGTATTATCGTTGTTAGACAGTTGTTGGCATTAGTTTATTTTTGTCCTTCATCACAAAAAAAACCTTTTAGGTGATTTAACACTTGAGCCTTAAATTTCTTTGTGGCTTTTGATTATGGTAAAATGTGCTGTCAATAAAAACAAAAACTAGCATTTGGATTTTGAATTAAATATTCTATGCATAGTTGTACCCATTGCTAAAAAGAAAAAATAAAGTCATTTGAGGTTTAGTGTAACTGACTTAATGTTCAAATTTCAATAGAAATTTACTTTTATCCCTTAAGAATCTGTCACACAGATTTTGTTTTTTCCTGATTGGAAGAAAACAAAAGGTTATATAAGTGAGTCATCATTACTTAACTGATTATTATTTATTTGTCTGAACTATGGTGAGTTGGTATTACTAATACTAACAAGGTTGCTAACTATCAAACTGCAATATTTTAAACATGAACAGAGTGTGAACAAGGCTTCCAGGAAGACTAAATAAATGATTAAAGCCAGTGCCACACGGGATTGTAGCTGTCATATACTTTTATATATTATCTTAGCTGCACATATCTGTATGACCCTCGCTTCATCTTGAGGTCACAATTAATATTTTTTTCCCGACAAGACTGAGAACAACAAAATTATGGCAAAAGCAGATCTGCATTTATGAATGCATTCATACAAATTCAATTCTTTTCACATCAGATATCAGAAAGCAAGCAGTTTGTTTGTACTCCGAGTTATCTGATCTAAATGCATCAAATGATTGAACTGTAAATACCGGCAGGCTGCTCATCAAAAACTGCCTTAAAATATCAAATATATTCAAAATATCTCATAAGGGTATTGAAAATATATGTCTACAGAAATATGTTTTTCCAAATAGTAAGTGAGCTAACAGATTTTACAGTGAGAACAAATGAAACTGAATGTCATGAAAGTTTAAGAAATGAGGCATTTGCCTACACGGAGGACATGCCTTGTATTTGTTCTTTTATTTAACTATGCAACTACTTTGTTACACAAAAAATATCAGGAACGAAAAAAAAAATTAAATCAATCCTTTAATCTTTAAAATATCTTTCTCTTTCTGTCTTTCTCACCTAAAGATTTCTGCTTTAAAAAACCCACATGGGAAACCACTGGGAAAGAATCTGCTTTGTATCCCTTCAAAAGAATTTTGCTGATTATATGCATTGTTTCACTCTCTCCCTTGCAGCTCCGTCCAGAGTGATGACGATGATGAGGTGTCTAACAAGACGTGGGTGCTGACTCCCAAAGTGTATGAGAGCGATGTCACACACATCCTAAACAGCCTACTAGATGGATATGACAACAAACTCAGACCTGACATCGGAGGTAGGCGCTGATTTTTCACAGATAATATGTTTAGTCACAGAATCATAAAGATATCTGGCCAAATTTGTAATTAGAGCTATACAACAACGAGTCAACAGTACTTAGGCTTAGGTTTTGGGTTAAGAGTTATAATATAAGTGACTTGTGTTACACTGATGTTACTGTAAAACAGAAATATATAACCTACTGAACCAGGTCTAGATTTGTAAGAGTGGCTGCACAAAGTTTCATTAACAATCCAGAAACAAAGACCTTTAAATGAAGCAGCTGGCAGTGTACTAAACACAAACCAGACCAACACATTTATAACCTCTGTTTAACAACAGAATTATCCTTATGAATCACTGAATACATAATTCATAATAAAAAAATAGATTTATATGTAGTTATAATTATTAAGTCAATTTTCAGTAAAACAAAGCATTCATTTTCCAGTTCACTCATAAAAAGCACAGCCATTTCAAACATAATAAATAGATAATGAAAGTAAAACTTCCTTGCCATAGTCTTAAAATTTCAGTAGTCTTTAGAAATTGTGAAAAAATACTGTTGAAGCTTTATACCAGCTGTCTTTTTTTTCCAAGACCCTTACTTAAAAACTGCACATGCATGCAGTACGGTCAGGGAAACTGTCACCATCCTGCAAGCCTCTAGACAGCTATCTTACTCTCTTGAGTCTGACAGACAGCTGAGCAGGACTCCTTGTCTGCAGAAGCCTATCACGTCCATCTGCAAGACCAGATAAGCGAGATACTCAGTACCTTTGAATACTTGATTAATGTGTCAGTGGTTTCCTGGGAAACTCAGTTAAAGTCAGAAATAGTGACATAGTGTCAAATAATAAAGCTGCACCAGTCCACATGGTACTATAAAAAATTGCTTGCTCACCCACTATAATATTCATACACATTTGGCACTGTCCAGTGCTGTATTCAGGCAAAAAATGACAAGGATAGTTTATAAAAATCCTTTACTATTTACTTTTCTGCTTTGTGAAAGCTTATACCATCATTAGGCAATTTTGTTGCAACAAAAGGCCATAGTCCATTGTGACAGATGGAATACAGCACCAGAAAGATTTTGACCTAATTTCAATCATAACTTTATTAAGCATGACTAATGAATTGACCTAAATGATAAATTTATTCTGCGCATGAATGTAGCAGAGTAATGTTGATGTAGCATCAGCAACAAATCCTTTACATTAGTCTGTATTCATGTTTTCCTGTATACGATGTACATTATTATACATATTTTACAGTATATCTAATACCACCTATAAAGTGACAGGTTTTATGAGGGATGGTCATTATTCTTGATACTTTGAAAGTGGGTCTGTGCTATAAACAAGAGCAGCTTAGATGTGCTTTGAGGTGAAGCTGCAACCAAGAGAGCCGCTGCTTAGCTGGGCGGCTGGCTGCCACAGTCTTAGCCATCATCTTCAAATGTTCTGTGATCTTGCTCTCTCAGCGCTAGTCTTCCAGCTGCCACCAAGTTACACATCTACACAGGGGATATAATTAACTGGCTGTACTGTCATCTGAGCCAACAACCAACCAGTCATACCAAGGCAAAGTGAAGTTTCTACTCCACTCCTCAGAGCTCTCGAAGTTGTTGATTTAGATTAATTGCTGATTGTGCCATAGCTTCCATCGGAAGTCCATTGTGATGCTGATTTAAATTTAATGGAACTAGAGTGTATTGTATATAAAGAATTGAAGCCATTGGACTGTGAGACAGAAAAAAATGTTCTAAGACTCTTAGAGTTGATCAGGGTTTTTTTAAAGATAATATGGAGAACAGAAGCAAGGACTTAGAGTTGTTGTACACTAAGTTAGATGATGTTAGGCTTCAGCTTTAAAATGGCTCGTGATGTCCATTAATAGTTTGTTAGCTAACTGAGCAGTGAATGGATTGGCTTGTTTTATATTGTTACCAGGAGGAAGTTTTGAATTTTAGGAAGACAATAAAACATTTATTTTCATATCAATGATATATTTTAGGACTGACCCAAAATTCATATCTTGATATTCTTTAGCTGGATGGCGATATATGATATATATCTCGATGCTTATTGAAGTTATGCAAAAAATAAAATGAGATGTACAGTATTTGATGGCATCCTTTGTTCTTAGACTCATATATACAGTAGTCTGGATGACCGCCATCACTTAAAGTTCTTTTTCTTCACATAAGTAAACAAAAAG